CTTTCCCTATCCTCAGAATTTGTTGGCAGCAGAACTCCAGATGGTAGCGAGGTGCCTAAGATGGAGGACGTTGTGTTGTGCCTCCACAGAGGAAGCGAGAGCTCAGCATGGTTAACACACACAACTTTAAAAAGGTTTCTGTTTCTTTAAATCCTTCTGAATAAAGTGGCTCTAACTTCTTATGAAGGATATTGAGGGCTTTAATCAGAAATAAGAAGTGGTTTAAATCATTAGCACAACAAAGCAAACTATAAGCTTGAAGATAAAAGTCTCAGGGGAAAAAGTGGACTTGATAGATTTCCATATCATTTATAACTTCCCTTAATTACACTTGGAAGACTTGCCAGTAAAACTGGAAAATTGGCAGCCTATATCCATTATAGTAATTTTGCCGACCATGGCAAGCAGCTGGCTTTACTGGATTTTATTTCCCATCACTCACAATTAATCATCAGCTGGAGATGTCTGAAACTCCTCAAAACGTAGCAATGCTGTGTGACATTCAGGCCTCCTTAAAATGCTAAAATCTGCTGAGTAAATGGGCCGAGCTGGCCGTGCGGCGCGCTCGTTTGGTGCGCGGCCGGCGGCCGGCTAATGAGCGCCACCGCGGCGATGGGCTGCGAGCCTGAACCCTGACCTCGTGTCAGAGGGGAGGACGCGGCAAGCTGGGCAAAGGAGCGGGGGGGTCAGGGCTGCAAACTTCACACCAATTAGACAGGGAGCGGGGAAATGCATCAGCGCCCATTGGGTTTATCAGAAAGACTTGTGGGGCTTGTGACCATTTTGGAAGCCTAACGTTGAAGATGTCCTGTCACAACCATTAAGTCTCTATCAGGTGACGCACAAAAGTCTGAGGAGAGCGTACCACGCTCACAAAGATCCCGTGGCCGCGGTGCCCTCGGCTGTGCGCCGTCTTCTCGTGTTGCTGAGGTTTGAAGAGAGCTATCTCTAAGTGCAGTTAGTCCTCGTGGTCCTCCTGTAGGTGCAGGGAAAACCACTCAGGGCTGCTGCCTCTCAAAGTCTGCTCCCACCCCGTGGGGTGAGCTGCTGGGTCGGGAGGTGCCTGGAGACAGTTCCCTGTCCTGTCTGTAACCTTTCGGCCGGAGGAGAGAACAGCCACCCTGCAGTCCCCGAGCCAGTCAGACAGTGCCGTTGACTGTTCCCAAATTCACTTCAGAACTGTTAGCAAAGTTGAGTACTCTCTGCTTCCATTTTTTTTCCCTTTGTGTGTGTGGTGTTTTTTGTTGTTGTTTTTTTTTCCTTTCTTTCTTTTACTTTTTCCTTTTCACTTCGTGGAACACAAAACTGAACATCTGCTTTGAACTGCACCATGCAGAAACAAACTACTAAAATACAGACTGCAGGTATAACAGCTAATCATAATTTATTTTGATACTCCAAGCGACACAGATGTAGCTTTGCCCATAGTGTCACTCTGTGAGAAAGATCCCTGAGTTTAATTTCTTTTAAGAAGAGGAGCCTTTTTACTTTGCTTGTCAGATTTTTTGTTTGATTTTATTTGCCTATTTTGACAGATTTAGGTCGTCACTGAGACCTCTCTAAACTAAAATGTAAAGATGGTGTTTTACATTGGTTTACCATTCACCGAAAGAAATAAATTATATGATGAAAATGCAACATTAAAAATGGTCCAGATAAATCTTGGAGTAAGTTAGAAAGCAAGAACCTGTACACATCGCTGTGGTTTTCATCTGCAGGTTAAATAACTGGCAAAAGGATATGTGCAATTATGGAATGAAAGAAATTGGACAATGCCCAGAAGACTGAGAGGGAGAAAAGAGAGATACAAGTGCCTAATTTTAGGATTTGTGGCTTTGCAACACAATGAGTGGAGCTGTAAAGGTTTAACATAAGAGCAGTAATTAAACTTCTCTTCTGAAGTGACACTTTCACCGAGGTAATTTTCAACAAATTGCACATCATCAGAAGTGCTGACACAGCGTTTTCACACATGGTACCTGCTGAAAGTGCCTCCTGCCTTCCAAATTAGTAAGACTAGATGTTAACTGGATACTTTGTCTATATGTTTTGTGGCTTAGGGGCATTATTTCATTGCCAGACACCGTTTCCTTTGTTGTCAACCTAGCAGGCATTCTATAAAACACGAAAACTTTATTTTTGAGAAAGGGGGTGAAATGGGGTGAAATTGAAATTCCTAGGCATTTTCATTCCACAACCATTAATACTTCCTGGCATTTTAGCATTGTACTTAAGATCTACAGAGACAGTTCAGTGCTTGTCCAGTAGTTTTATTTCCAGAACTCTGTTTAGGTAATTGCTAGCTGGTTCATTGGCACGCCAGCCATCTGATGAAGCCATGTTACACTTGAATTCAGCTGGGAGTCGAGAGAAGAGCTTCTTGTGCCTTGAAGACAGGCCACTCAGTTCAGATCTGCACTCCTTAGCATCTCAGTCTTCAGCATCTGCTAGAGACCCACATTCTGGGTGTTTTGAGAGCTGAGTTTAACCAAAGACTGGACAAATTTGTTTCTGAAATATATTAAAAAAAAAAAACAAACCTGCAAGAAATGTTTTTGTTCCCTCCCCCCTTTTTTATATTTCTTTTTTATTTTTTTTTTTAAACAGAAGTAGATATTCATAGTTTCCTCTTAACCTTGGAAGTGTCTGGAAAGTTCAGAGCAGATGGAAGAAAAGCTGAGCAGAGGAATAGGGAAAAGAGGAAAAGAAGCAAGGAAGAAAAGCAAGGTGCTGGACAAGGCTACAGGCAGAGCAGCAGGTGTGGAAAGGAGACAAAAGACAGGGAAAAGGAATAGAGGGGAAATAACTGGGGACAAAGAACAGTCTTTTGATACTATTCACTGAATTTTTTACACTGCTAATGACTTAAATGCTTGCCTGAAGCTCAAGATGGAATTTCTGCAGGTGAAGTGTTGGGTGTTGGTTATTCTCAGCATCGGGTTAGTACGCCATGCTCCAATAGCAAACTTTTTCCTTCTTTACCCCAAAAAGCCCATCGTATTGCTGTTGGTAGTCTGTGGGAGAAAGGGCGTGTTAGCACCTTTAAAGGTGCCTAAACCAGATTTCTGCAGGTCTCAAATTACCCTTTTTAACAAAACTTTGAGATCAGCGTGAAAGCATCCCAAATTTGCTGGGGTAATGGGTGAATGGCAGGAAATATCTGTGAAAGAGCCTAATGAAAAGACTTGCACTCAAAGTCAGGTATCCCAGTGGGGTCTGCCTGCACAAGTCCTAAGTACTGGCAGGTAGAGCACAGTGCCCTTCCCTTTCCAGCACTAATTGTCTTCATGGGATGACTGGCAGATCACTGGGTTACACGAGGGGTATGTTCTGAATCCCCTGTTTTTCCAGTCATATCTAGGCAGCCTCCCTAGCCACGGCCAAGCCTTGGACCGAGGGGCTGTTTCTTCTCTGTGGTGTGGTCTAGGGTGTTGGAGGGAGGATCTGACTGGGAGGCACAGGGAGCCCAGCAGAGCAGCCCGGTGGGTTGCTGGTGGCCTTGAGCTTGCACATGTCTCTTAGCAGAGTGCAAACAGGCAGAGAGAGGGAACTTGAATGTTTCCTTGTAAGAGCTATCAGCGATGGTGAAAACGATGGGTTTGCCTCCTGGTGCCTCCCTTGCAGATGAGAGGTGGTGGTTCCCTTCCATCCAAAGTCATCAGCTGCCATCCAGACTCTGCCATGGGCAGAGGTTTGACTTTCTGCTCAGCCTTAATCCATCAGGTATGGCCGGAGCTTCCAGCCCATGCTCCCCCAGATGCGTGCCAAGAAACTTTTGCCTTTGAACCGGGATGAGTATTGTGGGATCTGCGCCAGGGAAGCAAAGCAAAGGCTCCCCAGCCAAAACTGCACAGATTAAACTCTGCTCTGGATTTAGTGTCGAGCTGTGATGGATGTGAAATGTGAACTGTATGAGTTGGAGCTGAGTGGACAGGATGGGAGAAGAGCTTTTCAGGTTTGTCTGGGTTGATATTTTGAAGTAGGTGGTTCCTTTTCCCCTGTGTTGCAGTGGTCCCTGTTTGGCAGAGGCAACTCTGGCTTGTGATTGCCGTTTGTGTCGTGACTGTGTAGCTGCCTGACTTGACTTGTGCCACCAAAGTCTTTTAGCATTTAATGAAATAATCTCTTTATTTTCCAGAAGAATCATACGCACTTAGAGCATTTCAAACCCTCTCTCCTCATTTTGTGCTGCTTTAATTTTACCAGGTTTCAGAAGGTCAAGAGATTTGTGTAATTGAAGCAATGAAAATGCAGAACAGTATGATTGCTGCTAAAACAGGCAAGGTAAGCTACCTTGGGTCACTTAAAACCATATGCAACTTGTCAAATTGGATAGAGTTTAAAAGGAAAAAAGGATGATTCTGGTTGTTAAGGAATTAAGTCTGATTGTTGTAAGTCTTTCGAAGTGAGGTGTCTTTAATTTTTAACATTTGCATCTGCTGTGAGTGCTGTTAAGTAGTTCCGAGCCTTAGATAGCACAGCAGGAAATAGTTTTATGGGCTTCAGAAATTCATATAACTCTTTTTCTCCTAAATGATTTGTTTTCTATGATGTTACAGTGCCAAGTTGAATTGGAAGGTGTTGCAGACTGTTTCTCTAAATTCCATCTTTCTAGAGAGCAAGTGAAGAAGAGAGCTCTCTTTGCCAGTTAATTAATTAATGGCAAACAATTTGACATAAAAAAAAAACCACTCAGAACAAAGCATAGAGAGTGCTTTTGCAGGAAGATGAGAAAAGCATTTTTTTTAAAAAAATTATTGTGCCTGTTTAAATACGAAGCCTAGATCTGGGAATGCATTAAGCTTTGCAGAGCTGTGCGTTGTGGTGTTGTGCTGCTGAGGGGTCAGCGCTGCAGCCCCAGAGCTGGGGCTCTCTTGCAGTGCAGGATGTACCAAAACCAGCACTCTGGGTGGAGAGCTGGAGAAGCTTATATGACAAGGGCATGCCTTAAACCCCATCTGGTTTGGGGACTCTCAGGGCCCCAGAGCATCCCTGTGCCAGATCATAATTCACCAGCACCTTCACGCAGTACCCTGATCGATCCTTTGCAGAGTCTGGATCTGGATTGTGTATTCTCTTCTAGCTCGTATTTCCTAGCCTGCCCTAGCCCTTCTCTGCCTGGGGACAAGCCCCTCTGCTCTCTCTGAAGCACTGCTCTTCAAAACAGCAGAATCCCCAGTGCCAGATCGTGTAGCCCAGAGGGAGGCAGCAAGGAGCCTGGCTTTCCAGGGCAGGGTGGAGGTTACCCACTGGCAAGATTTGCTGAGACCTCAGGATGGGTTTCCATGCCAAGGACTGTTTGTGTGTTTACCAGAAAGGCTTATTTGGCACGGCACTCAAATTGTCACTGAGGCTGGGACCCAGGGCTTGCCTCTTCCAGGGTGTCTAGTGCAAAACTGGGTCTTGAGGAGAGCAATTTGCAGAGAGAGGGAGAAGGTGCCTTCTCCTCTCCTGTTGCTCTAACACTGACACTTTATTATTCTCCTTCATGCATTGATTCTGATATAATTTGTTTTCTCACTTGTTTAATATTTACCAGGATTTATTTTTCCATCTGTGCTTCTTTTGTTTAACCCCTCATTGCTGCTTTTTGCATCCACTGTTTTTTAACTAGTGAGTATTTGTAACTAAAATGGCATTTCCCCTTCTGTTCCCCCATCCCCTCTTTATTTTTTACTTTAACCTTTCCTTTCCCACCAAGGTGTACTGCAACCCCTGGGCCTGTTCCTTAAAATCCAGCTTGTACTTCTCCCAGTAGTAGCTGTCTCCCACTCATTCTGTACAGGTGCCACATAAACCCCACATTTGGCAGATCAGTCCTTCAAAGTGGGATGTGAAAGGTGCACAGGCCGTTCAGTGGGCACAATGTGCACCTCTCAATGTCCCTTTGATGCTGCCACTTTAATAATAAGCAGATTATTTGATTCTTAGAATTTTAATAATTTGAAAGAGCAAAAAAGTTTTGGGCTACGTAGAAATGGAGCTGCTAAGCAGAATTCACCCTGCTCTGCAGTGCAAAATCCTGGCTCTGAGTGCTGAAATAACTTGGCCCCTCCACAGGAATGGGATGTTTGGCCCTGGCTGTTAGTCCACGTTTTGATGCTTTGAAACTGTGTTTTGACACTCACTCAGTTTGTTTGTCTTCAGCTGGAAGACGGTCCCATTTTCATTCCCGGCTGAATTCCTTTTCTGCCTCAGACCCCATTTTCCTGTTTGTCATTGTGAGAAAAGTGGCTTGTTTTGATCTGCTTTGAGTTTACTGCAGCTGCAGGTGGTTTAAAGATGAGGGGAGGATGGAGAGGAGCTGGGCTGTGTCCTGCGGGTGGGTCGGGCTGGGCGCCGGCCCCGCTGCTCGGCAGGAACCTCCGGGGAGTTCGGAGCACTCGTCAGCTGCAGCGGCTGGCGGACCTTGGCTTAGGAGGGAAAAGGAAGCTTCTGAACCTTGGCTTAGTAGGAAAAGAGAAGAAAGAAGCAGAGTATTTTTCACGCCGCTTTCATCTCTGGAGAGGTTGAGCCTCGGGGATCGGGTAGGCTGCCGAGGCTGTTGATTTAGAAATAAAGCCCTTTTTTTGTACGTCTCACGGTGGCGTCCCCGTGTTCCCGAGCAGTGCCGTGGGTCTGCCTGTGCTGCAGAGCCAGGGACGTGGCGCTAGGCTGCCAGACCTGGGCCTGGCCACTCCTGCAGCCCGGGCAGCCTGGCACCTCGGCTATGCTGCAGGTGGCCTGTAGGAGCCCGAGGTAACGTGTGCATGACTGAACTGAGCTAACTCCTCAACCAGCTTTTGACAAAGGATTTGGGCACGTCCGTGCAAGCTCTGAATGAGTATTGTAAGCAGACTCTAATATACAGCTTCAAGTGTTTTCTGGAGCTCCATGTGCTGAAAGGGAATTCAGATACCTTATAGCCTGTTAGAGAGAAAATGAGGCGCTAGTATAAGAGGGTTTGTGCTTTAAAATTCAGGAATCTGCATGTCAGTATATAATTAATCTACAGATGTAGTTGCATTTATTTGACAGTGGTAGCCCTTTGCCAAGTTTGGTTATGTTAAAGAATCCCAGTGCAGATTTGAGTCAATCTATCCCAGCTGTCTGGGGATTGAGGGAAACCTACTTCATGGCTGCGGTCCCAAAATCCAGTTATACTTAAAATCTGTAATGCAAGAAATACTGGAATATTTTATTGACACATCCAAGCCTGAGTGTTGAAGAGTCAGTCTGTCTTCTAAAAGATTTAAAATTTCAGCAGTGCAAACAGATGGAAGAAAGGGCTTTTTAATTTTTAAAAGTGCCACCTCCATGTGACGTTCAGGTCTTCAAGCACCTAAGCCATAAGAAAACCAGCTAGTGGTAGGTGCCTAAGTACCCTGATGGAGCTGGACACAGTTTGATCAATCACTGGAGGTCTCCATTCTCAGAGATACTCAGAACTCAGCTGGACCCTGAACACTGGAGGCTGAGCTGTCCACCTCTCCAGGCCCTTCCAACACACCTGCATCTGTGATCCCTGTGGTGGCCATAATGCTGCATAGTGGCCATGGACTCAGACATGGAGATGTGGTACTCTCTGTAAGCAATGCCAGGCAAAGCGTTCATTGAGCCCTGCTGCTGAGGAAGGCTTGACATGGTTTCTGGTTTTGTGCCCTAGGTGAAAGCTGTGCACTGCAAAGCTGGTGACACCGTTGGAGAAGGAGATCTGCTGGTGGAACTGGAATGAAGGGTTCCCTCCACGCTGTCAAATTAGCTAAACCTTTATTATTTTCATCCAAGAAGCAAGATTAAGGCAACTCGACAGAGAAGATGGACAATTCTATGCGCAAGTTTTTACACAGTCATATTTATTGTATCAGTGGTTAAGACAGCAAACACAGATGTTAAACCTTGGCAACAGATCCCAGATTTTTACTTCCAGAAATATTTGTACATAACCTTTGTAATTCTTTGATTTTTCAGTTTCAAATAAAATCAATAAAATACCATTTCTGCTTTAAAACAGAAAAAGCCTCTTTTTTAAAGAAGAAAACACAACAAAAGCCCCAATCCATGGTAATATCAGCGGTTTGAGGGCTCAGACACATTGTACAGAATAGTTGGTAAGAGTGAAAAATGAACCACTGAGCAGTTCATGGAGCAGTTTTCCTGCACTCTGTGGAAGTGCTGGACAGGTATTGCTGATGGCTTAAATTCTGATCAGATTTATTGTAATATTCTGAAGCTTTTGTATAGACTAGATTTAAATTACAGGTTAGACGTATTTTGCTAGTGCAGACTTTCCTCATATATTTTCAGGAACAGCATTTTCTTCTTTTATTCAGACACCATACTCAAATTTCCCCTTTATCTTCTTTCTATTGATTACTGGATGCAATCCTTACAGAAGGAACTGGGCACTGTCCTGAGTCCCCTCAGCTGCCCCAAGGTATTTGCTAGAGGCACTTGCTGCCCTCAGGCCACGACTCCTCATGATCACTTAGAGGAAAGCTTCTGATTTTTTGTTGTGCAGAGGCTCTTAGTAAAGACTATGTGACTGTTCACAAGCTTACATCCTGTTGGAAGAGCTGTGTATCCAGTGTGGGAAACCAGAGAGAGCCTGGAGAGGAGGATTTAAGAAAGATTTGAACAGAAGTGAGAGAGGCTAGTGACTTGGTCAGAACAGCTAGGAATTAAAAAATATCTTATTCTTCCTCCTCGCTCAGGAGCTCCACGCCACAGGACGGTGTAGATACCAGAAGTGTACTGGGTTCAGAACGTTCGTGTGTGGTTAACAGAGGCTCCTGCTTCCCTTTCTTGGCCTAGCTCAGTAAGCCAGCAGCTCAGCTCGCTAGAGGCAGTGATGCCTCCCGTGGTCCCTGCACGGTGTGAGCACCATCTCCAGTCCTGTGCTCCTGCCTAGGCCCTGGTGCTGCCCACCACTGGCCAGGACACCGGGCTGCTCCAGCTCTTGGGCTCACCTCCTACAGATGGTGGGATTTTTTTTTCCCCACCTACCTCTAAGTCACTGTTCCTGCTGTGCCTTGACCACTGCCTCAGGGAGGGGAGGGTCTGCTCTCGTTTTCTTGCATTGGCTGTTCAGAGTTTACTTCCCAGAAGAACCCTCTGGCCAGAGGCACCTGGGCCCTTTACTGGAAGGTGAAGGACAAAACCAGTCTGTGACAGGGCTGGTGACTCATGTTCAACCAGGAAGGTTCAGGATTCTGCATGAAACTTCTGCTAGAAGAGGCATTTTTTTGTGTCACTGAGACATTGCCAAATAATCACACAGCCAAGGCAGAATAATGTAGTACAAGGATCTGCTTTGTTAATTAGTTCACAAAAGCCATCAAGATGAATAAGGAGAGTGTTTGGGTAGTCCCTGCCCTCCAGAAGATAAATGCTTTTGCAGCTAGAGAAACTGAGGCAGGCACCCTGCACATCTTCCTACCAACCTCCTTAATCCCATCTTGCCCATTCCAAAAGGAGCACACTTCAGCCTCTGCAGGTTGCCCTAAATAAAACCCCGCGTGTTGTAAAGAGGCAGAAGCGTTCTATTTTAAAATGCCTTAACTTCCTCACTGCAGCAGCAGAGGTGTGCTGTCTGTTGCTCTAGGTGAGCTGCAGCAGTGCCTCCTGGCTCCCTGGGTGACTCCCTGCCTCGGCTCTCCTCTGGCTGTCACAGTGCTACGGGAGGTGAAGAAAAAGTACAACATTGTTCTAACCGTGCCCCTACTGCAGTTAACTGTCGTTTGGCTCGCTGCACGGCACAGTCCCTGCTCCCCTCCTTCTGGCAGCTCTCTGCACCCTACAATCTATACGTACCAAACGCTGCAGATAGGGAAAATATAAGGCACAGGAGCATAACAGCAGAAAGACACGATTTTCCCAGATTGTACAGAAACCAGCACAGTTGGTTGGGTCAGGGGGACAACGTTTTGGTTTTTTTTTTTCCCTAGTTTGAATGTTGCAATAATTACAATACAGGTCCTCTGGATTTTTTTTTATAATGTATATAAAATCTTTCCCCTGATGACAGGAAATTCAGTTTGCGTATGGTTGCAAGCGCTGCATTAAAGTGCTTGGGAAAAAAGTCACCTTGGTAGTAAGTGCTCACAGGAGCTGCATCCACTGCAGTGTGGGGGGCAGCTAAAATGGGGTTTGCTTTTCCCAGCCCTAACACCCCCACCCCCACCAGTGAACTGAGCGGTTCCTAAAGTGCTTTGAATGCTAAATTAAACGTGATTTTAAATGTAATTCTCTTACACTTTTAATATTTCTTCACAGTACTTTATAAAACGAAACACGCTTTTTAAATGTTTCTTTCCAGTTCAGAAAAACATTGCAATACAGAATAATCTTTAAATTTTCTCTGTTTCTCCAGCAATTTCCCATTTGTCTTGAAGCACATAGTATCTATACGGTCATCTCTTCCTGTTCACATTCAGTAACCTACTAAACACCATGACAGGTCAACTTTAAACGTGAGTTGTGCTTTATTCGCAGACACAATTTCTGAAAATCTGTTTCAGCTATTAGTGCAATAGTATCATCATTATTTTACCCAACTTGGACAACCACATGAGAAAATTTGTCAATTCAGGTAAAAAAAAAAAAAAATTAAAAAAAAAAAATTAGTCTGCTCCTCTGCCTTTCACTGACCTCAGTCACACACTAAAGGGTGGGGGGACTGAGAAAATAATTCGACCCCAAAACCAGTGTGTGCAGGCACAGCTATTTTACACCTCACGCAAAGCCAGTTACTCGCAGCAGGTTAGCAGGGGTGAGGAGGACACCGACTAGCCATGGCAGAGTCCCCGTCTCTGCTCCTACAGGACTTCAACGCTAGCGCCACGGCCGCTGGGCTGGGAAGGTTACAGGAGATTGTTTTAATGGCAGGGTATTACAGCTTTCCTGGGAGGGTTACGATGGACGGCGGGCCTAGCGCTGTGTCTGCAGCTGGGCTGTGCTGGCGGGGCTCTAATCCCGGCTCTCACGCAGGACGTAGGCGAGGCCGTGCTTCCCCGAGGAGTCGTAACTGTCATGGTAGGGGAGCCCCACCCACTCGGGCGGGTACGTTGTCGTGCTGTACACGAAGCACTCCACCACGCCCTCCGCCG